ACACACTCAAAACAGTTCTTTTTTATAATTTTATATTTTAATTTCAATTTATCCAAAACTAAAATGGATAAAAAAAATAAAACAGAAGAAAGAAACACCTGATTTACAAACAAACATAAACATTAAGAACCTCAGGTCAAAAAAAGGAAAAAAATGCAATATTGAAAAAACAAAAATCAGGTAAAAATAAAGTATTGAATAAGAGATAACTGACTAGTCTGAAGCTTCTTGTGGAGCTTGTTGATTTCTGAGAGAATCTCCTCCTGTTCTTTCCTTACCCGATCGAGCTCCTTCGAGCTCTCCAATAGCGAGACAACGTCCGGAGATGACATCGTTTTGATCTTGAAACAACAACTGCTGCACAAAACCAGATTCTTCCAAAGTTGCTATCCAATTAAATCGAAAATCGAGAGTTGGAATTTCTAATAATATATTTTTCTCAGAAAAATTTAAAGAGTGGAATGTTTTGCTTTCCGCTTGCGTTCTGTTATATATTTTTATTTGATTTTATTTTTGAAAAAAAAAAAAAACTTGAGCAAAAAAAAAAACTTGAGCTTATTGTTACTCTAAAATAATTGGAAACTTTTGGCACCGAAATAATCTTCTCCCAAAAGATAAGCTGATCTTATTCATGAAATACCTTAACCATCCCTCTGCCTAACATGTATATTATAATTAAATTTCGACAGTGATTAATTATTATTTCTTATTTTGTACTCTATTTATTATATTATTATATTTTTAAATAAATATTATTATAATAAAAACATAAACTCGTAAATCATATTAATTGTATAATATAATTAATATTTTTTAAGAAATACTTAAATTACTTTAAACTTTCACTGTCTATCTAAATGTCCATACTTAAAATTTGGATAACAAGACTGTATATAATTAAAGGAAAAAGTAATACTAATAATGAGTAATTATATAATAGTCACTTTAATTATTTTCATAATTTACTTTTACTTTTTAATTTTAAAATATGAGCAAAGATAAAATATAAATATAAATTATGTAAATCAAAATGAAAATTTCTAACATATATATATTATATATATAATTATTATTTTATGAATGAAAAAAAAATATTTTTATATAATTTATAAATATTATTTTTTCATTGCACATACTTGAACTAATTTATATATCTAAAAATAATAATAAACTCCCTGTTATGAAATGTGTGGGAGATAACATTGATTTTTAAGAGGTATGTATATTATATTAATATAATGTGTTAATATATCTTTCCTAAGCTTAAAAGGTTTATAAACATTTAACTACAACACTAACACTGATTTTTAAGAGGTCTATATATTATATTAATATAATGTGTTAATATATCTTTCATAAGCTTAAAAGGTTTATAAACATTTAATTATAAGGGTATCTCAATTTTTTATACTCGACATTATTTCCTAATATCACATTATTCACTCATTTTTACGAACTTAAGCGTCCGAGAGTTGTTAAAGGTTCACATATTCTTTCCTCAACAAACTCGTTGAAACTTGTTATAGGTTCAACTATGTATGAGAGGTTTGATGGTAGGTATAGGAGAGGGAAGTTGAAGTGTCTATAGGGTTTGGGGATGGGTACGAAGGTGTGAGAGCTAAGGGTAAGAATGATTTTAGGAGGATCAGTTGTTGTGGTTATAATGGTTTATTGGTCGTCTTAGTTGTTAGTTGAAGGGGGTGAAGGTTCTCTAGGTGGTGAAGGTGGTAATGTTTGAGTTGTGATTTGAGGAGGTGAAGAGAGTGGAGTTTAGGTTGAAGGTGTAGACAATCTAGGTGAGATGGGTTTAGTTGAGGGTATGTGTGGAGATGAAGAGAGTTGGGCTTGAGTGGGAGGAGTGGACAGTGTTTGGGAAGGTTAGTTGGGAGGTGGCAAAGAGATGCCAGACGTTGTGAGAGGTACAAACAATGTGTCTTTAGATGTGTCGAGATGAACGTCTAAGGACTAATTTAGGTCTTTTTGGAGAGGGCTCTGCAATGGTTACTCCTTAAATGTTGAGGGGCATTTCCCGACACATTTTCTAAAGCAGTAAAAACATGTCCATCATTAAAGTATGATTTCTCTTCAGGACATTTCTTAGGTGAAGAAGGCTTATTCACTTTCTTGGCCTTCTTCTCTTTTGATGCAGTAGGTCGAGGTCTTTTTGAAGACGTTCCACCCTTAGATGCTTGAGCCTTTGTTGATGTAGAGTTGAAAGGTTGACCAGACGTTGCTTCCTCAGACGATGAAGGGGATGCTTCAGAATATCAGTTGCTTCCTTTTCCTTTTCTAGCAGCCTCTACCTTTTGTAACCCCTTAGGGCTTGGTAACCCTTTATATCCATCTTCAAGAGATTCAGAGTCTTATCAAATCCTATAACTCTGACGGATTCTTTCTTTTCTACGTCCATGTGAGGATGATTTAGATGATTATTCCTTGTGTTTGCAAACCTTACAGTCTCCAAAGAAGGGATCTTTTCTACCTTCTTTACTTCCAACTGCATCTGTCTAATGTTGGTTATGTTGAATACTTAGCCACGAGAGGTGCCACTCATTACAATATGGTTCCTTATGAGAACATGAACATTTTCAAACATCATATGCTCAAGAACCTTTCGATCAACAATCAATCTGACCAATGAAGTGTAATAGTAGTTGTACACCTTCTTGCTCAAGTCTTGATGGACTGGACGACGTGGATAAGAATCATGTGTGGCAGGTTGAAAGGCATCTCAGTTATCAAATGATATATGACGAATCTACCCATCTTAGTCACATGATCTCTAGAACTGCTCTTATGTAGGAACATCTTCGAGCATACATGTTAGAGGACTTTTGCATAAGGGCTCAAGTTTAACAAAAAAGCATTAAACGAAATATCCCTCTGAATGAAATATTGTTTTAAAGAAATAGTGTTTAAAAGAAATATAGTTTAGAAGATCCTTTCTAGACAAAAACAAGCTTATAACAACGTTTTCTAGACAATATTGTCAGATAAACAAAGCTTTATAAACAATGTCTAATGAAAGGAAGCGTCTTTTTAAAGAATCATCTAATAGACGATATGTGTTACAAACAGCATTTTAACAAATAACGTCTTACTAACATAAGCATCTATCTTTATGCTAACATTGAAGCTTAAAATATGTTTTACTCAAATAATGTTAATTCAAGCAAGCGTCTTATAAAATGTATCGTCTAACAAGAGTCCGTTAAATGTTGCATATCTCAAACAGGTTTTCAACATAAGCATCTAATGTTTACACCGTCTGATATTCATATGTTGAATGATTTATTAAACGATGCATTTATTAATAAGTTGAAAAATGAGAAAATGTATTGAACATGTAATACAGCCTAACGCTTATCAATGTTCAAAATATTTAATGTATGTACATAAAGTGCTTAGATGCTTGCATACATTATTCTTGATATTTTTGCAGATCACAAAAGTACAAAGACTTTATCAGAATCAATGCACCAAAGATAAAGACGTTCAAAGATATGAAGAATATTAATGTTTCCCTTGAAGACTTATACTCTAACACATCGTACAAGCTATGTTTTGATAAAAGCTATGGCAAATCATTCTACCTTTGCAAAGTAGATTGAGCCTGATTTCTTAAAGGCCACCAGTTTTACATGAAGTCAACCTTATCTAACCGTCATTTCTTAAGAAAAGCTATAAATAGACAAAAGCTTGAAGAGAAGACAAGAAGCATAACATTGAGAACTTTTGAACCCTCATACAAGCTTGCTATTACTCTACTCTTATATCGTCTAATGCAAAATTTTCTAAGAGAAAGAACGCTAGCAAAATCTTAGATTTTGTTGTACTATTTTTATCCTCTTTTTGAGAGTTACCATCTGTATTTGCTCTTAACACTGACTATATTGTACATTCTGAAGAGAACTAAAACACTTGGTATTTAGCTCAGTTGAGTTAAATAGTCTAAATAGTTGTCTAGGATTGATACCAGAAGTGGTTAGAATACTTGTGATGAAAACTCATTTAGGGAATTTCATTCAAAGGGGTATCAACTAAAGCTAAGGCTAAGAAAGGGAAGTGAAGAAGGACTTTTAAAGGCTCTTTCTTGATTTTCTTTCTCTAAGTCTTAGAAGGATTCTCTAAAATACTTATATTGTTGTTTTGTAGGGTCTAAAAAGGCTTGGAGATCATGGTTGAACCACCCAAGAAGCATGAGAAGCCAAGGGAAGCAAAGGAGCAAAAGTTAGGAAGAAATAGGTGGAATTTCGGATTGGGAGGTTACCTTCCGGATTATACTTGTGAAGAAAAATGGCTTTCGCATTGGAATTTCTCCCAGCCAAATCCACTGCACGCCCAGCCACTACTAGATGCATTTTACACATGTTTAATTTTGACCTTGATCAAGGCATGGCTTGCGTGAGCTGATTAGTTGGAGCTTCTTGCACAAACTAATTTAAATTTGGGAGGGAATTTGGGTCAGAAACATGACTCATCTTTACCTATAAATAAGAGAGTCATGGCTATGTAATTTCTCACTTTTGAGCTTAATGAAATGCTCCAGCTTCTTTTGTTCTTTAGTCACCTGAGAATTTCTAATTCTCTCACTCTCCTCTAGCTTCCTTCCTTAGTAGGAAGGTCTTTTGAGCTTGGAGGCATCATACACACACCACACCTTCATCCAAACTTTCATCAAACACCTTATATGCATCCAATTAACTGCAACAAATCTCATTCCGTTGTGCATCTGTTTTGGAGCTTCTTCTTGCGTGCTTAATGCTAGGAGAGGGTTTCATCAACTTGTATACCAAGAGTAGTTAAACTCAGACTAGCAGTATTGACTAGATGAACCAGGAGTGGTGTTAATACTCGACGTAAACCT